GCTCAGGGACAGAGTTAAAAAATAAATTGCAACCACTGCTTCCTGATGTCATCTGCTTTCGGAAGCCCAAACAAAGACCACGGAGGTGAAAAAAACAGCGTTTCAGGCAGTCGCTCACAGGACGAAGCGCAGCGTTAAAATTCAAATACATAATTTTCTATGAGTGTAGGCACACCGGCTGCGCCGTTCAGCGTCTGTCCGCAGCGCCCAGCAACATCTTGTTGTACTTGTAAGAATGGTTTTAGACATGCCGAAAATTTGAAGCTACTTCGTTTTCTCTGATGCACTAACTCTGCAGCAGCAATTCTTCTTCGTCGTCTCATCTGATGCACTCACGCAACCAAGCGTTCTAACCACAACCTCGCCCCTCCCCACCCCCCAACCATTTGAATTTCTGTAGGTGGGAATTATTTTGAATGATATTCTAATGGGCCGCTTTGTGATATCAAAAAGCCCGGAAAACAAACGCTGTAGTCCAAACGAGCCGTTCGTTGTAGTTCTTGAAAAGGGATTTTTTAAAAACGAAACATCTCCCTCTGGAGTGGACTTTGAGATTTTTAACTTTCTAGATCTTTTTTAAACCCAAACATACACACTACACACTGACTAAAATTAAAAAAAAGTGAAAAAGCATAATAGGACCCCTTTAACTTCCCTTTAAGGTAGCGTTTGTCAGCATCTGCAGAAACTTCTGGGACTGTGGGCTTGTGTCTCTCGATGACATCTCAGTGACCCTTGGAGACTGTCGGGTTACTACAGGTACTTCTACCCTTTTGACATTGAGAAAAAGCCCTGTTCAGATGGTAATTGTGTTTCATGGTGATGTAAGTTAATCCCAGCTTTTACAGGGTGATTTTATCGCCATTTTTGCTCCCACCGCCCACAAGACAATTACTGGTTGAATCAGCTACTGTTTTTAACAAACACCAGGGTCATGTGGTACCGTCCAAATCCACATTTCTAAATTTAAAAGCATGAATTATTCCTAAAGGCATTTTGGAGATCCTTTTTGACTACTGCCAAGTGCCATATGGTCACACTGTGTGGTATTGTGTGTATTTTTAGTACAGCAGAGGCTTGTATCACATAAATCTTGAAATTATTCACATTAAGCTTCATGGCTGCTTCACCACTGTGTGATAGTAAACGGTCAAATTACATAAACCTGGATGGGTGTTTGTTCTTCCTTTTAATAATAAAAGTGACTCACATGGGTTCGTCTAAAACTGTCCCCATATTTAGAATTGTCCAAACCATAACATTGTGTTTAACCCAGTTGCTTTTATGGAAGTAAACCCCATGACTTAAGCAGATGATTGTTCTAATAAAGGGTAAACTGTATTACTTGCTTGGCAGAAGCACGTTTTAAACAATGTGGCTTAGGAAATGGGCAAGGCCCTTGTCTAAGTTTCTTAAATATTCTGTTTATAGACATATATTACATGCCAATGGAGAACATCTGCCCTCACAAACATAGGCATTAAATGGGCAGTGCCGGCTGCGGTGGACAGAAATAGACAATCTTTTAACCATTTCACTCAGATGTAAAAAAGCCTAATATGGTGGAAGTTTACCATTCCAAAGCAGGTCACCCTTTTTGTGCTCTGTTTAGGACCTTTGAATCCACCTCCTGGACATTGTAGCTTTGAAACTGGGGACTGCGGCTATACCCAGAAAAAGAAAGCTAAGAAAGGACATTGGTTACGGATCAGGGGACAGACCCCCACATCTTACACAGGACCCCAGGGGGACCACACCTTAGGGGTAGGTGAGTCAAATTTATGTTTCAGCATGAAATGCTTTATTAACATTGCTGATGTCATGCACACTAAGTCTTTCCTGCTCTGACTTCAAGGCTACTACATGTACATTGAGGCGTCTCACATGTTACCCAAGCAGTCGACCGGGCTCATGTCCACTGAGCTGAGGGGTTCAACCGGACCTCATTGTCTGATCTTCTTCTACCACATGTATGGCTCAGGCACAGGAACTCTGAACGTCCTGCTGCATAAGGGGGACAGGGAGAGATTGCTTTGGACAAGACAAGGAGAACAAAGTGTGTCCTGGATGAAGGCCACGGTGGATTATGAGTGTTACACAAGGCACTGGGTTAGAGACACACTCTTACTCTCTTTGTTCTTGAAAGATGTCTTTGAAAAACATCTTTTATAATGTCAATATCAAAGTAACCATTTGATCGCTCAGGTAATGGTACTTGAGGTGCCAAGAAACTGATGGAGTGTCACTTTGAACATTACTGTGTTGCTTTTTTTTGCATGTAAAAATTCACTGAAAGGTTTAATGTCTCCCTAATTGTTTGCAGATTATATTTGAAGCTGTCAGAGGATCCTCAATAAGGAGTGACATTGCAATTGATGATGTTGTGTTTAAAAAGGGACCGTGCAAAGGTGAGTGAACAGTTTAGTTCCACCAAAATGACAATGCAGCGTTTTAAATATATATTTTTCTAAATAAAAGTTTTTAATGACTGCAGTGGCATAAAAAAGTCAAAATATCTGATCTTTGAAGAGACTCATTGACTTTGACATTCATGAGGGTCTGCAGGGATCCTCCTTCCATGTTGGTTGGACCACATGACCAAATGTGTAATAAAACTACTACACACACACACACACACACACACACACACACACACACACACACACACACACACACAGTAGTACTTTTTACTACCGTATTGTTTTAAGTTATGTATAATATATTATATGTTTATAAAATGTACATGACTAATTATTTAGTCATATTTAGTAATTTAGTAATTAATTATGAATTAACATTTAGTAATAATCATACTTTTAATAATAAGATAAGATTATGATTATGCCAAACTTATAAATAAATTATAAGAATTTCTTAAAAATATGCACAAAATATACAAAAAAGAGACATACTCACCATAAAAGATTAATATGTGAACTGCATTTTAAGTTAACTTTTTTATATTTATATTTTGTCAATTTCTTTCTATTAAGCATTTTATATTTTTGAATAAAATAATAGATGTCATGCTCTAAAAAAACTACTCCACACACACACACACACACACACACACACACACACACACACACACACACACAGTAGTACTTTTTACTACCGTATTGTTTTAAGTTATGTATAATATATTATATGTTTATAAAATGTACATGACTAATTATTTAGTCATATTTAGTAATTTAGTAATTAATTATGAATTAACATTTAGTAATAATCATACTTTTAATAATAAGATAAGATTATGATTATGCCAAACTTATAAATAAATTATAAGAATTTCTTAAAAATATGCACAAAATATACAAAAAAGAGACATACTCACCATAAAAGATTAATATGTGAACTGCATTTTAAGTTAACTTTTTTATATTTATATTTTGTCAATTTCTTTCTATTAAGCATTTTATATTTTTGAATAAAATAATAGATGTCATGCTCTAAAACGTATACAATAAAAAATTTATTTCAATTAATATGAATGGTTACACAAATGTCTTCTTGTGTGCTGTAGTATGTGAAGTCAAACGCATAACCTGAAAGTTGAACAGTAAGTGTCAGTTGTTCATGCGTCGACAGGGGCGTGTCCAGGGTTTTATACTCAGGGTGGCAAAGGGGGGCAAGAGCAGAAAGAGGGGTGGCAAATAGACTTGCCAAGTAACACCAGTTATAGCTGTTACGAGGAACGATTGGTATACAATTTTATATCAATCTAAAGGGGAAAACAATGAAACTTGACAACAATAGTTCCTATAATAATGTCCTAACAAACAGAATCGTTTTAAATAAAGTATAGTTGTCAATTAAGTCTGTGCAATGTCTCTCTACTAATAATGAAGCTGTGGGTTTAAATTACTTCAAAAACAAAGAAATATATGCTATAACGTTTCAGTTTATAAGCTGTTTTATTGATCACTGGACAACATTGACAATTCGTTTTGTTTCTGTGTGCGCGTGATCCTGGATATGCAAGCCACTGTCTGTATACATGTGTGTGTGTGTGTGTGTGCACGTGTGCTGCAATCAGGCAGCACCAGTTTAGAACGGCTATTAGAAAAGCCTGTTGTCTTTGCTGTACAATAAAATGTGCAATCACCTAATCAATATTCCTTAAGAACTATGCAGAACTTCCCACACTTGTCCATCGACGTCTTCATAACTTTCACCTTCTTTCTGATTTGAGTTATCCATTAGTGTCAAGCTAGCTAATGGTTATTTTATCGTGTGAATTCTTGCTAAAGCTAGCAGTTGTATAATGGGCTGCTGGAATTAACTGTGCTCGTGGTGGAGTGGCAGTGGAGCGCTATCTAAGCGAGCGAAAACCTGAAACTCTGACTTTCCAAAAATTCTTGTTCTGTCAAAATCACGCTGCTCTGCTCCACTCACATACTCTGCTTTGGGGTGGCAAAGCTCATTTTTAGGGTGGCAATCGCCAGCCTTGTGGACACACCTCATCTTCTTTTATTTGATGTATTGCAGTAGGTTGTGTGAGGTGAGATCAGGTGACTCCACTGCAGTAATAGCAGGTGGGGGGAGCATGTGCTTTTTTACTGCAGGTCTCATTGGGGTTTGTCTATGAAGGGATCACATAGGCCTACTGTTACTGCAGCTATCTGAATCTGTTAACAGCAGCAGTAATATGGCAGCCTGTAAGACACAGAATGTATTTGTACATATTATGCTTATAATACATATAAATCTCTCTCTATTTATTTCTCTCTTTCTCTAGATCCTGGAGACAGCATCCCATACTCAGGATTTTTTGAAAATTTGAATGAAATTGAATACTGAGTGAGGCCCAGGAATGCTGATATGTGTTTGTTTTTATTTGTGTGTCACTGGGGAAGGGGAGACTGGGAGAAAGAAAAGAACATTTGATACCTAGACTCAACAGTGTTCTGCAGATTCTGGTCATGCATGACTACATGGAAAGGCACACTCTTCGTTGTTCTTTCTTATAAGGTGGTATGCTGTGTCTAGATCTCGATATAGCCTGATATTTTTGGATCATTGGGACAGCGACTGTCTTATTTTTGTGTATTTTGTTTAGAGATTATCAGAAAAGACTTTTAATTTTTGTAATGTGTTGACATTGCTCAGCAGCATGCTGCTAGGTAGCAACAATTTTCCATTTCTGTTTGCAGAGGTGAACGTTTTCTTGTTTGTTTTTACACTGATCAGTGTCTAGGGTAAAAACAGGTTTGGACTAATGCCAGAGTTCAGGTCATGGGTTGTATACATTCTCACTCACAGTGTTTCATTTATTAAACAACTTTTTAAAAGGAAAACGTCTTTGTCAGTTCTTGTAGATTCCCATTAGAATCACAATACTGTAAACTTACACTTAAATATTAATTTCTTGCAATCTCTCATAAGGCTTCTGGAAATACAAGTGAAGCTGTTGATACTGTTTTACAATGAGAAATCAATATAAAATGATTTTTTTTTTCTTATAATTTACTCCCATCTAGTGGAATACTTGTGTTATGGAACATACAAAACCTGGTTGAAACGTTTTTCGAAATTATGGTAAAATACCATTCTAAACGCTAACTAATACAACTAAATATTCTTTATTTTCCTGACTTACATACAGACC